ATGAATAAGTTTTTTTAAAGCTATATATATTATTTATAATTTAGTATAATAAAATTATCTACTGTAGAATATTTTTAAGTGTTTTTTTTTTTTTTTTTTTTGTTGAAATTATATTTCTTTGTAGAGTTATTTAGTAGTTTTTATGTTGTATTGGTATAAATGAGTATATATGAGAATTTGCATTTTTATTAAAAATTCCTTTACAAAATATGACAGCTGTGGTTTCATATTTTTCGAAAATTAGATTCTATATTAGTTATTATACCTATAACATATATAGGAAAAAATATAATTTAAAGCCATTATAAGGACATCAATAAATGATAAAAATACTTTAAATCACAATACTTTAAACAATTAAATTAAAATTTTATACATGTATCTATACATATAATAATAAACGTTAAAATTCAAAAAGTACAACTGTGTAGGTTTATGTATATAATTTCACAAAAAATAAATTTTTACACAACCTAATATAATATTGTCTTTACGTGATATATCTATTCAAAATATTCCATGAATAATACATTTTCAATTATATGTTCAATGAATAGTCAATACTTTTTTTAGGGCAAATACTAATTAAATATAGGCTGCCTATAATACACTGTTCCTGACACTAAAAAATTCAATTTATAATTTATATCCATTTTGACTATAATATTTTTTAATTGTGAAAAATCAAATATTTTAATATTTTACAACTAAGTTCGATCATAGTTATATAATTTGAACAAAAATAATAATTTATTATAATGTTAAAAAATTCGAAGTTAATAAGTGAACTATCAGGCTACGACTGATTGTGGTACGTCTAAAATAAAATGGAGGATTTATGGAGAAAACGATATAATAAAATGCCTATATCATGGTCCTTGGCTATTATTATAGCTTACTTTTATTAATATATTTACCAATTTGCAGTTTACGCTATATTAGGTTTAGATAACCATTAAAAAGCGGACGCTTTTTACTAAAAAAGATCTAATTAACATATAAACTTTTTTCTGATAGGGATAAAATCATGAACATTAAAAGGCACCCTCTCATTATATAATATATATTATTTTAATTTTCAAGTCAAAAACGTTGTTGCTATATAAAATTATACTAACCATAGTATTAGTTATTTAACGTAATGTTTAAAAAATTATAAACGATTTTGTACAAGTTATTTTGCAACTATACATTTCAATATTTGAAAAAATATTCGATGTAATATTGCATATTATTGATGTATTTGAATTTTGTATATGTAGATTGTAGGTATATAATTACAAACTACTTGATCATCTCTTATTAAATATAAATAAATAAATTATATAACTATTAACTTATACCACGATACCAGTGAGCATTACATAAGCAAAATATTTTTACTAGTCAGAAAACTTCAAAGACCAAGTATACTTAGTCAAATTTATTAGTCCATAGAGTTTATAGTATTATCCATATTACGTATTATTAAAATACTTGTTAATTTTTGTACTTATAAATAATACATTTCATTTATGTAAGTTTGTTTGACTATGTTATGATACGACTTACTTATCTGGAACTTTAGTTAATCTAACTCAGTGTTTCTTAACCTTTTTGATATATTGGAATACCAAATAATATATTTTTTTTACATAGAACCCCTATGGTATTAAAATATTATATTTTATGTTATAATAATACGTGCACGTCTAACGATTTTTCTACTAGCCACATTTTGATGAAAGCACTTTCGCGGGATTCTAGGGTTAAGAAACACTGATCTAACTAATAATATAACACCGTATCTAAAATTATATAAAAAGTATAAACATTTTAAAGCCGAAACGTTGTTAATGATTTTAATAATCTACAGTTTTATAATTTATTAATTTATTTTTTTTGTTATTTGTTAATATTTATTACTTGCATATAGTTATATTGTTTGTTTTTAAAGGAATTAAATACAACTAATTGTATCGAATCGTGGAAATCCTTTAAAGTTTTAAATTTATTTAAGTATTCAAGAGAATATCAGCGTACAACAAATGATATAACATTATTATGTTATCTCTGTTAATATCAACACCAACAATTATTAGATACCTACTTAAACAATACACTGCAACTGACATTTATATTTATAGGATTAATATTAATACAAACAAGAATATGCAAAAACCTATATCATACAGACATATTATTATATTATTGTAAATTATAAAAGCGGATATCGTTTGCATACATTTATTATAATATTTCCATCTTAAAATTTTAACATTCACCTATAGATGTACACATGAAAGATGTTGTATTGATTATTGACAGATCATCACAGATGAATACACTAATTTCCAATTTTTATTGCAACTTAAAGATATATTTTATTTTTCGTTAAAAGTTGTATAAAGAGTGTGTGTATATCAATAACTACTTTAAATAGGTACATACGACGAGAGTTGTACATATTATACTAAAGTATAATGTGTTATACTAAAGTATAATATGGCATAACGCATAATTTTTCATTAAGTATGATGTTTTAAAATATAACCTAACCAATGTTGGTCCACCGCCATATAATATGTAAACATAGAGGTAGATACCTATCTGTGCCCGATAAAGTTTTATTAGGTTACCTACGAATTAGACATTTTCAAATATTAGTTAAGCGGTCACCTAATCATTTCTCGTTATATATCTATTTTATTATCAAAATTTCTTATTCCATGCATTAGTTATTCACTAGAAAATAACGATAATTCCCACACGTATAAGTATGTAAATAACGTTATTTTTCACTATAACATAATTTACCGTAACAAATATATTTTTTTAAATATCCATTCAATTTTATAGTAGTTTTGAGCTATTATCAGTTTAAAAACGATATTTTCATCTCAAAATTGTTGGAAAAGTTAAGTTTGGTATTTACTATGAAAGTCTTGTGCTATTGAAAGCCTATAATATAATATAGTCTAATTTACTAGGCTTAAAATATTATGTTTTAGTGGACACTAAATTACATAGTACGTGGTTGGATGTCTAATGGGATTTCTGTTATCCTTATACTCCCCATTATTGTCTGTTATATACATATTTAAATTAATTGTGTTATAACTTATAAGTAAAGTTTTACTGTTTCGTCGAAAGTCTTAACTATCGCATGAATACAAGTCGATTGGCAAATGACAAATGCTGTAACTAACAATCACATGGATTAAACGATCTAGGTTTCGACTATCACAGAAACGCTGCTACGTGGCGTGTTCATTTGTAATTCGTATTGTAATACGTATTCGCCGAAAACGGTCAATGACAGAAATTGTAAATCTGTGGTATGTGTACCCAAGGTGGTATGTGAAAAAATGTTGAGAGCATACAAAAATTAAAACACTTACTCTCGTCAAGCAAATTAATAAATACTGAGGTAATGTTAATATTTTTTTAATTAAATCTTTGATTTACTTACTAAATAAATACAATATATAAATTTTAACTATGTAATACATTTTTTCTTATATTTTTCAATTTTTCATTATTTAATGACAAGCAGAAAAACAAAACAAAAAATTCAGCTAATTTTTGGTAAGTAAGGTTAGAAAATTTTTTCTTCCCTGATCTACGTTGACATTAGATAAATACTAACATTTGTGATATAAACAGTAACGTAATCAAGGCGATGTTTGGGTGTGAAGAGTGTTAAGACATCCTTTTTGGCTGTGTTTATAAAATAAATATACGAGTACCAACTTGTTAAAATATATGCTTCAGATCTCTACAATATATATTGTTGTATAACTCTATAAGTTCTATTTTATATTTGATTTAATATGAAGGTTGATGACTACAATAAAGAGTGTACAATACAAGCTGTATTTAAAACAAATTAAATCACCCCTCCTGACCAACCTTAAAAAAATTCTGGCTACGCATCTAGTTAAACTAAATGGATAAAAAAAACCCGGTAACCACAAAAACTTCATAACATTAAATACACGCCACTCGTCATATTATATACCACATGAAAACAAAACATCAAGACGTGTACATTACCCTATTCTGACTGCCGTGTGTTTAGTTGTGTACGGTGTGTCTTACGTGTTGTCTCTCGCGTTTTATTATATACACATAATATATAGCGCTCTGCTGTGAGCGAATAGAAGAAAAAGCTCTAAGGTTGTTTATTAGCTTATTTAAATATACACACTACACACACATTTATACATAAACGTGTATAAAGAACACACGTATAATTTGTTGTTGTTATTATTATTATTATTATTTATTTATTTCTTTAGTTCAGACGACAGACGGTCAAACTCACAAATCACATTCCGGCTCGTAAATCTATCGTCCAGGACAAGCGATAAAAATGACAACAGAATAATAATAACGATAATAATCATGTGACGTTACTACATTATGAACCCGCGACCGAGGGTCGCCCATGTAAGAAAAAACAAATCAAAACGTTAGATCTCGACATTTCGAGCACACACAAAAATATATCGTAGGTACCAACGATGCTCACGCGTCATTTACTTAAATGGTAAGACGCCCAAAGAAAGGGGGGAAAAGACAAAACCCAAAACCACCGGACTCTAAAGCGCAAACACATTAGTCACGTGTACAACAACATAATGATAAATGTTATTATAATATTGTGAGTAGCTATTATATTTTATAATAATTTATTCCAGATAGGACGTGTACCACCTATAATTTCATACCAAAATATTGTAGTACCTACTCGCATAGTAGAGATATATTCTAAGGACGAGTATTTTCCGTGTGGTGTCACATGCGTGTATATACTATATACTGTATAATATACAATGTATATAATATGTCGTGTTTTTAGATGTATGATATATTATAGATATTGAAAAACGAGTAGTTGCCGCGCGCCGGGGGAGAGGTTTTACGTAGTGACGATGATGGTGGGGGGGCGCGACGGGGCGACCCTTCGTAGTTCGTCATTCGCGACGTACGGCCGCCGCCTCAGTCGTAGTCGCGCACGGCATGGCTGTGGTCGTTCGTTATTTGTTCCGCGTCGGCTCGCGCGACGTTTCGTCCGGTTGTTCTGCAGTCTCGCAATTATTCCGCTAATATCTGATATCGGTTACACTTTAATATTTCGCAATTATTTTCGATAGCGCCATTGTACGTGAATATTACCGTAATACACTACCAAACGGCTTATAATATTAACAACGACAACAACATTGTTGTTAACTATTAGACGAGACTTACGGGTGCGATTTTTGTGTGACGATGTTTCGCAGTGGGTGGACAGCGTCAATGCTGCTGGTGACAGCCGTTTTTCTGTCGTCTGACAGTCAGTTGTGGAATCCTGTAACGGGGTCCAACACGTTCATAGACGAAAACACCAATTTAGCCGAAGACTGTGAGTTGTAATCTTTTTTCTAATATAATGTGTATGCCATGCTTAAAAGCTAATTCTTTGCAAAAGGACTCTTTTGAATACTATTTAATGTATATTTATATAATATTATACGTAATAAATACGATCGTGAATTTTGTACTTTGAGATTATCTAAAGTTTTTATAAACAGAGATAGGAACGTAATTAAGATAACCACTGTACAATAATATTTAAATTTACGTATATTATTATTTTATATTATCATAGGTACCTATGTGTAATTTGATGCTCATTGCTCACATGATACGGTGGTCTAAATGATCTTCGAGGATATTTTATCATAATAGTTGATACCTATATGGCTCTATGGTTGGTAATACTAATAGTTCAGTAGAAAATATTGTGTTCGTTGAATATTATGTGTCTTGTAATAATAATATTAAATAATTCGTATACTTAAAACGGTTAAAATGATATCGAAATTCAAAAAATATGTTTGGAAATGTCATGTCAACAACGATAATTCCTCATCTGACAAGCTAAGATTTTCATAGAATCACAAAATTGAAATCCCAGTATATTATAGAATACAATAATTATTTATTAGTTCTTAGAATTTTTTATGAAATCATACTAGCAGTCTCCTCCTAGAATTTAAGTGTAATAAAGGTAAAATTATATTATCTCAGTTGATCAAATGAATAAAGCATCGAGTTTAATATATATATATATAAATTAAGTTTTTATATACATATTTTGTTTCTGCAAAATTGCGTATTAATATCAATATTATTTAGCGTGTACTTATTAATTTTTACATAAAACTGTAACCAAACAAATAAACTATATAAATATGTACGTATTACATTTTTGAATTCCTACACAGTTATTACATTATTAGTTATTGTTTAGAAAACTATTTTATTTAGATTACAAAAAAAAAAATTCAATTTTTTTTTTTAATATTCATATTTTAAATAATAGTAGTTTCAACTGAATGTAGTCTATAATCTATATAATATGTGCTATTAACATAATTTATTCCAGTTTTAAATATAACACTTATATAGTATATTATATATACTATGGGTTCGTAAAATTTTCCCATTATTAATATTTTTTATATTTAATCACATTCTAAAATTGTAATATTATGTACACATTTCGTGTAACGAAATTATTATAAAAATAAGTGTTTGAATACAATTTACCTTAAATTGGACTTTTTTATAGAAAATAAAATATTTGAATATATATTAATATTTTATAGCATAATTTTGTCGTGTATTCGTCTATATAACAAATAATAAGAGTAGCACCAATAAAACTAATGAAATTATAATATAATGCTATAACAATAAATTTAATGTAGGTATCATATTGAAAATCAATTTAATCTTCTTATATTAGGTTATTCAATAGAATATAAAAGTATATAATATCAATAGAAAAAAATCCTTTTGAAATATAAATAATATACACGCCTATAAATAGTTTTACAATAATGTAAATATTAGTCATCTAATTTTAATGTAAAATATATTTAATTATCATATTGTATCACTACTTTTTTTTTATTTTTTATAAATGTTTTCAGTGCAATTTTTTTAAATGTATAAATGCAATTTTAATGCTATAACTTCACTGCTAAATGATTCTAATGTTTCTGAAAAAAGAATTGAAATAATGTATTTTTTTACTATTTATTTCGGTTTAACAAAATATTTCAAGATTTCTATAGTTAATTAATACATGGAAATAATACGAGTTAAAAATATTAGAATAATATTCAACCCTATATTCAAAGACTGTAGTTACTTGAATTACAATAGGAACCTAGTGCATGATGAGAAATGAAAAAGTTAAAAAAAACGAAATCCGATACTGACATAATGCAAATAAACAAAAAAAGGTAATTAATGTATGTTGATGAAAGTGACTGATGAAATCAGACTGAGATTATTCATATAGACATGCCTCATGAACTTGTAAAATAATAATTCATAGTAAAATCTTTTGTAACCTAATCAACCAATGTATGTCATATATATTTTTAGGGGTCTATTATTAAATTTAAAAACCATATGATACTCGTATTAGATGAATGCATCTAAATTTTACTCTGTCTTATATATTTTAGTTTGAAGTATAAGTACTATAGTTTTTTAAAACTAAATGTAAAAAAATTAACTAGGTAATTGTTTATTTTAATTTTAATTTTACTGAAAATCATACGATTAAGCCTTTTTAAAACATTTGCTTTTAAATTAGTCCTTTTAGCATAATAATAATAATAATTCCATTATTGATTTGTATTATTATTTTATACTTTAATTTTATATTCTAGTAGGTTTGCATTTTTTCTTACAAATTATTCATTTATTTGTTTATTTGATAAAGATAAAAAAATAATAGATTTACTTTTTTTTAAAGTATATTAATAATTAAATTATTTTATAAGATGTGTTACTAAAGTAATTTGAGTAGGTATCATGCAAAATTATTCTAAGATAATAATATATTATATATTATTGTGATTATTGTACGGTTATTATGTATTTATTTCTAGGCATTATATTATTACAATTATATAAATATAATCAAACATTGACTTAAATATTTACGTTTTCGATATGAATTGATTGAAATTCAATATAATTTAAATTGTCTTTAAATCAAAGTATACCATTAATAAAAAATAATGCATATTAGGAGGAAAAGTATGAATAATCAATTTCGTACTATTTTTATTTCAACTATTACGAACTTAAATTAAATAAACATATTTGTTTTGTTATCTAATTTTTCGAACGACGTAGGAATAGGGATTTTTTCAATTTAATAATTATTATTAGTGGCTAACATATAATCTGCGCTGTTCGTCCATTAAGGTCTGTTGAATTTAATTTAATTTCGTGATTCCAAAGAATAGCTGAATAACGGGATTTGACTGGATAGGGGACACTATGAGCTCTGTGTGTTATTGGTTTACGGATATAAAGACGTCCCGGCGGATGCGACGAGAGGACGGAAAACGACGGTGGAAATTATTGCTTTTGACGTCGGTCTAGGGTACTGGATGAATTTTTCCAGGACACAACAACGTCGGTCTTGTCATTCGCAGACGGCCGTTATATTATAACGTTTATTTTATTTTTTTTATATTATAAACGTTATAATAAATCCTACTACAAAAGTATTTCACGACTCATAAAAAATAAGTAAAAATGCAATACCCAATGTACTATAAATATTGACTAGCGGTATACGTTGACGTTGTTGCTTCTAATTTTTTACAGTTTCTCTGTTCTTAAAATGGTGTATATATAAATTATAATATTTGAAATTTTAATTTATTCCATCAGAACATTATCTTCATTTTAGCTCTCTATTTTTACCAAAACGTTAAAATAACTAACAATGGTTAGTCATTTTTTTGTTTTCAAAATAAAAAAAGGAACCCTATATTTGGTCCCTTCTCGTATACTCAATAAAATATGTCAAGTCATTGGCATCATTAACAGGGATCTTTATAGGGATTTGATAGTTTACGACATATCGTTAGTCGTATATTGTGTAATGTGTATATACACTATTATAAGGCTAAATGGTGCTCCGCGGGGCGCCACGTTAAGACAATATTATGAATTCCAAAACATTTAGTACGTATGGTACCCATTGCCGAAACTGTTATAATACAATAGGTTTCCGTACACATGTAAAACTAAATAAACAATTTGTTCTGTAAATTATAGTCGCATCATGTTGCTAGGATTTTGTTTATAAGTGTACATAAGCAATAATTAAACTTTTTTTTTTGTTTATACAACACTGTAGTATCAATAATAAAATATTTTTTTTTCACTTAAACATTATACAAAAAATGACAGTTTAATATAAAAGTTATTAAATATAATATACCTTAATAGTTAATACAAAAAAATAATACCTGTTTTAAAAATACTGCAATACTTAAAATATTACTTTGTTATGAATATGAATTATGATATTGTTATACTTTAATATTAAATTGATTGGAAGTATTTATTAGTTTTTTATTTTGTAAAATTATTTTAACTTGAGATATTAATTTCTATTAAATTAAAGTATTTATGTAATTATTAATAGCTAGAGGCCTTAAAATTTCAAATTAGTTCAAAAACTAATTAAAGTTACTTTATTTGATATTTTTTTTTTATTTTTTAATAATCTTTTTATATAAATATATTTATGTAAACATTTAAGACTATATTTAAAATAAATTATATAATATATTTCAATGACAAATTAATTATTTTAGTATAACATAATATTACATAATATGTATATTATAAACTTATATTTTAACTTTGGATTCGGCTGTTTTGTTATATTGAATACTACTTACTTAAATATTAATTTTTTCTTCAGTATGAAATCAGTCAATTATCTACAGATTACTGATTTTAAAAACTAATAAATTTAATAAAACTTTTTGTACTCTTATAAAGTTGTATACCAAGTAGTATATTAAAAGAAAACTTTTATTTTGTGTAAAACTTGTGTAACTTGAACTACATTTCTTACTTTAAATTTGGCATCTAATATCTATTGTTTGTATTCAAAAAATCAGAAAGTTTTTCTTTTATACCTACGGTTTTTTTTTTTAAATTTTTAACGATTTCTTGATTCAACATTGTTGTGTTGATTGAATTTAGTTTATATTATACGATACACTTTAATAAGAAAGAATGATCTAAATTTTAAAGTTATTAGTTTATTTGATAAATATAATTAGTTAACGGTTAGTAGTTTAATAAATAATTAAACATTATTTCATTGTTTAATTAAAAAAAAAATTACCGAATACTATCACAATAATACGTTTCAGTATATTGCAATACAATATTTATAGTGACTAATTAATTTCAATTATTTAATGTCACAAAAACTAGAAATAACTTTGAGTTTATATTTTGTAATTTTGAACCACTCGTTAGATCGCAAAGAATACCGTTAAATGTCATTTTAAATTTTGAGTT